TCAAGATGGCGTCAAAGATGGCCGCCGAATACATAAAGTTTGATATTTCAACCCCTAAGCGTCATAGAACAACTATATTTTGGTTGATTTTTTTGGTTTTCAGGGTCAAGGAATATAATATAAGTAGTTTGAAGTCTGTTTCTGGAATATTATGACGTATTTAAGATGGCGTCCAAAAAGCTGCCGTACATGCCGACTTTTGTTTTTAAACTTCAAAGCAACATAATGGCATTATTTTTGCTCACTGATGTCATTTAAAATTAAACTACTATTCTTCTTCTTCTATTACAGTAGTCTATATAATAATTTAGCAAATGTTTGATATTGTGCATTTAATATTTTGGCTAACTGATTTTCATGTTTGTGGCAATGGTGACTCAACTAACAAATGCATGGCTTTCATTTGAAGAGAACTGTGTCTGCAGCAAGTTCATAACATCGTTATCAAAGATGTTCTTAAGTATGAATTATCACCAGTGCCACCTTCCTTATTTGAAAAAAATGGTGACATGCGGACAGTGAAGAGTAAGGCCACCTTGAAGAAAAGGTTGGGAGTGGAACTTTCTTCTCGTTTCGTTGAACAAGCTGACGTAGATGATGTTCTGTCCTGTGGATCATCTCGTGGCCTTCCAGGAGTACAGTTGAGAACTTCATCATGAACATGATTGCATACATCAGCAACATATTGCAGAAGACTGATGTATATCTCATCGTTGACAGGTACTACCCAAACAGTATCAAAGATGCAATGAGTTTGTCAAGAGCAGGAAAAAATGCAAGCCGACCCTGAACACACAACTACCCCCTCAGAAAGTTTTGCTGACAGTCAAACATAATAAAGTGAAACTGATAGATCTTGTCTGTCAGTATCTACAGGAGAATGCCGAGCTTCTTCCTCTCAGTGGTAGAAAGCTCATCACTACCCAAAGAGATTCAGTTGGGTAATGTCATGTGTCAACCAGACATGAAAACGCTTCACGAAGAAGCAGATGTGAATATAGGAAGACAGGTGTTGTTTCTTGCCTCAAGTGGTGTTGAGTGCATCAAAGTCAGTTGCGATGACACGGGTGTGTTTGTGCTGCTGATGTACTACTACTTACCACAGAAGTTGACCTGCAAGATGTTCATGGAGGGGACGAGTCCTTCAAGATCTACCATTAACATCAAGTCCACAGTTGAAAACCTCAGGGATTTTGTTGATGACATAATGACAGCACACGCTCTTTCTGGATGTGACACCGTCGCTCATCTCTATGGTATTGGCAAGATTACTGCCATACAGACATTGAAATCTGGTCATCGTCTTGACAAACTTGGGAAAATTGTTGCCCAGATAACAGAGGTTGTCTCTCAAGCCGCCAGATTTATAGCAGCATGTTATGACTCGAAGGTCATCCATGATATGTCTACTGTACGATTTAATGTTTGGACATCTAAAATGTCCAACAAAAGGCTGACATCAACTCATGAGCTGGGATGCTTGCCTCTAACAACTGCAGCATTTGAACTACATGTGCTTAGGGCGCACTCCCCAGACCATGATTTGGAGAGCAGCCTTAGAAGTTGGTCCACCAAACCATGACCCAAGACAGTACGGATGGTCAAGTGATCAGGCGTCCAATCTTCTGCATAATCCAGGCAGGTGTGACGTTTGTATATGACCGCATAACCCAGGTGTGACATGTATATATGGCCGTATTAAACCAAGTGAGACGGTTGTAACATACTCGCCCGCGCGCCAACACCACTAACCCACAACTCAGAGCGAAATGGACAAAACTATCATTGAAAAAAAGCTCTCCATCGATTTATCGGTTAGTGGCGAGGCATGGCAGAGTTGAGACCTGCCTCCCGTTGTTACTGTTGTTAGTGGTGGTGTTACTGTTGTTACTGTTGCTCCTGTTGTTAGTGGTGGTGTTACTGTTGTTATTATTGCTGCTTCTTCTGTTGTTGCTGTTGCTCCTGCTGTTGGTGGTGGTGTTATTGTTGCCGATTCTGTTGTTGTTCTTACTGTTGCTGCTGTTTCTGTTGCTGGTGTTATTGTTGCTGCTGCTGCTCCTGTTGTTGTTGTTGCTGTTACTGCTGTTATTGTTGTTTGTGTCATTGTTAACTACACTGTTTATTACCGTTGTTGGTGCCATTGTTAACTACACCTGTTGTTATTACCGTTGTTGGTGCCATTGTTAACTACACCTGTTGTTATTACCGTTGTTGGTGCCATTGTTAACTACACCTGTTGTTATTACCGTTGTTGGTGCCATTGTTAACTACACCTGTTGTTATTACCGTTGTTGGTGCCATTGTTAACTACCTGTTGTTATTACCGTTGTTGGTGCCATTGTTAACTGCACCTGTTATTACCGTTGGGAGAATTAGTCCCCTTCGTTACGGCGTTGGTGTCGTAGTCAAGGTGATGTGTGTTGATTGGGTTACCTGTGTGTGGTGGATGTCTGTCTGTCTGTCTGTCTGCTCTCTCTCTCTGTCTGTCTGTATGTCTGTCCATTGATCTTGGGACAAAATTCAGGATTGGCGTGGTACCTCCTCGTCACACCCGGTGGTACCTCCTCACGTCACACCTGGTGGTACCTCCTCTCGTCACACCTGGTGGTACCTCACGTCACACCCGGTAGTACCTCCTCACGTCACACCTGGTGGTACCTCCTCGTCACACCTGGTGGTACCTCGTCACACCCGGTAGTACCTCCTCACGTCACACCGGGTAGTACCTCCCCGTCACACCTGGTGGTACCTCCTCACACACCTGGTGGTACCTCTCACATCACCCCGTGTGGTACCTCCTCACGTCACACCCGGTGGTACCTCCTCGTCACACCCGGTGGTACCTCCTCACGTCACATGGTGGTACCTCCTCACGTTACACCTGGTGGTACCTCCTCACGTCACACCTGGTGGTACCTCACGTCACACCCGTTGGTACCTCTTCACGTCACATGGTGGTACCTCCTCATCACACCTGGTGGTACCTCCTCACGTCACACCTAGTGGTACCTCCTCACGTCACACAGTGGTACCTCTCCTCACCTGGTGGTACCTCTCATCACCCTGGGGTACCTCCTCACATCACACCCGGTGGTACCTCCTCACATCACCTGGTGGTACCTCCTCAATTCACACCCGGTGGTACCTCCTCACGTCACCCGGTGGTACCTCCTCACGTCACACATGGTGTATCTCTCACGTCACACCTGGTGGTACCTCCTCACGTCACACCCGGTGGTACCTCCTCACGTCACCTGGTGGTATCTACTCACGTCACACCTGGTGGGACCTCGTCACACCCGGTGGAACCTCCTCGTCACACCTGGTGGTACCTCCTCACGTCACACCCGGTGGTACCTCCTCACGTCACACCTGGTGGTACCTCCTCATCACCGGTGAAACCTCCCACGTCACACATGGTGGTACCTCCTCCGTCACCTAGTGGTACCTCCTCACCACACCAGTGGGAACCTCTCCGTCACACATGGTGGTATCTACTCACGTCACACCGTGGTACCTCCTCACGTCACACATGGTGGTACCTCCTCACGTCACACCTGGTGGTACCTCCTCCGTCACACCCGGTGGTACCTCCTCGTCACACCCGGTGGAACCTCCTCACGTCACACCTGGTGGCCTCCTCACGTCACACCTGGTGCCTCCCACGTCACACATGGTGGTACCTCCTCACGTCACTCATGGTGGTACCTCCTCACATCAGAATGGTGGTACCTCACGTCACCAGTGGTACCTCCTCACGTCACACGGGTGGTATCTACTCGTCACACCGGTGGTACCTCCTCGTCACCGGTGGTACCTCCTCACGTCACACCCGGTGGTACCTCCTCGTCACACCCGGTGGTACCTCCTCACGTCACACCTGGTGGTACCTCCTCGTCACCCGGTGGTACCTCCTCACGTCACATGGTGGTACCTCCTCACGTACACCTGGTGGTACCTCTCACGTCACACCTGGTGGTACCTCCTCACGTCACACCCGGTGGTACCTCCTCACGTCACATGGTGGTACCTCCTCGTCACACCCGGTGGTACCTCCTCACGTCACACCTAGTGGTACCTCCTCACGTCACACATGGTGGTACCTCCTCACATCACACCTGGTGGTACCTCCTCACGTCACACCTGGTGGTACCTCCTCATCACACCCGGTGTTACCTCCTCACGTCACACCTGGTGGTACCTCTCACGTCACCCGGTGGTACCTCCTCGTCACCCGGGGGTACCTCTCACGTCACACCCGGTGGTACCTCCTCCGTCACACATGGTGGTATCTACTCACGTCACACCTGGTGGTACCTCCTCGTCACACGGTGGTACCTCTCACATCGTGGTATCTACTCACGTCACACCTGGTGGGACCTCCTCACGTCACCGGTGGAACCTCCTCGTCACACCTGGTGGTACCTCCTCACGTCACACCCGGTGGTACCTCCTCACGTCACACCTGGTGGTACCTCTCCACGTCACAGTGGAACCTCCTCGCGTCACATGGTGGTACCTCCTCACGTCACCTAGTGGTACCTCCTCGTCACACCCGTGGAACCTCCTCACGTCACATGGTGGTTATCTCACGTCACACCTGGTGGTACCTCCTCACGTCACACAGTGGTACCTCCTCCGTCACACCTGGTGGTACCTCCTCACGTCACACCCGGTGGTACCTCACGTCACACCGGTGGAACCTCCTCACGTCACACCTGGTGGTACCTCCTCACGTCACACATGGTGGTACCTCTCACGTCACTCATGGTGGTACCTCCTCACGTCACACATGGTGGTACCTCACGTCACCTTGTGGTACCTCCTCACGTCACACATGGTGGTATCTACTCGTCACCCCTGTTGGTACCTCCTCACGTCACACCGTGGTACCTCCTCACGTCACACCCGGTGGTACCTCCTCACGTCGCACCCGGTGGTACCTCCTCACGTCACACCTGGTGGTTCCTCCTCGTCACACCTGGTGGTACCTCCTCACGTCACATGGTCAGGAGTAATTTGGCGTGGTAGTTTGAGGCACCTGGGGCGTGGTGGTGGTATAGTACTTTGCTTGGTGTAGTGCACTTGTCGCTGTGGTGTGGTACTTGCCGCTGTGGTGTGGTACTTGCCGCTGTGGTATGGTACTTGCCGCTGGTGTGGTACTGCCGCTGGTATGGTACTGCCGCTGTGGTGTGGTACTTGCCGCTGTGGTGTGGTACTTGCTCTGTGGTGTCGTACTTGCCGCTGTGGTTGGTACTTGCCGCTGTGGTGTGGTACTTGTCCGCTGTGGTGTGGTACTTGCCGCTGTGGTGTGGTACTTGTCGCTGTGGTGTGGTACTTCCGCTGTGGTGTGGTACGCGTTGGATTGCCGCTGTGGTGTGGTACTTGCCGCTGTGGTATGTTTGCCGCTGTGGTGTGGTACTGCCGCTGTGGTGTGGTACTTGCCGCTGTGGTGTGGTACTTGCCGCTGTGGTATGGTACTGCCGCTGTGGTATGGTACTTCCGCTGTGGTGTGGTGCCGCTGTGGTATGGTACTTGCCGCTGTGGTGTGGTACTTGCCGCTGTGGTATGGTACTGCCGCTGTGGTGTGGTACTTGCCGCTGTGGTGTGATTGCTTGCCGCTGTGGTGTGGTACTTGTCGCTGTGGTGTGGTACTTGCCGCTGTGGTGTGGTACTTGCCGCTGTGGTGGTACTTGCCGCTGTGGTGTGGTAGTTGCCGCTGTGGTGTGGTACTTGCCGCTGTGGTGTGGTACTTGTCGCTGTGGTGTGGTACTTGCCGCTGTGGTGTGGTACTTGTCGCTGTGGTGTGGTACTTGCCGCTGTGGTGTGGTACTTGCCGCTGTGGTGTGGTACGCGCTGTGGTGTGGTCCGTGGTGTGGTACTTGTCGCTGTGGTGTGGTACTTGCCGCTGTGGTGTGGTACTTGCCGCTGTGGTGTGGTACTTGCCGCTGTGGTGTGGTACTTGCCGCTGTGGTGTGGTACTTGCCGCTGTGGTGTGGTACTTGCCGTGTTTGGTTCGCTGTGGTGTACTTCCGCTGGTGTGGTACTGCCGCTGTGGTGTGGACTTGCCGCTGTGGTGTGGTACTTGCCGCTGGTGTGGTGCTTGCCGCTGTGGTGTGGTACTTGTCGCTGTGGTGTGGTGCTGCCGCTGTGGTGTGGTACTGCCGCTGTGGTGTGGTACTTGCCGCTGTGGTGTGGTACTTGTCGCTGTGGTGTACTTGTCGCTGTGGTGTGGTACTTGTCGCTGTGGTGTGGTACTTGTCGCTGTGGTGTGGTACTTGTCGCTGTGGTGTGGTACTTGTCGCTGTGGTGTGACTTCGTGTGCCGCTGTGGTGTGGTACTTGCCGCTGTGGTTGTACTTGCCGCTGTGGTGTGGTACTTGCCGCTGTGGTGTGGTACTCCGCTGTGGTGTGGTACTTGCCGCTGTGGTGTGGTACTTGTCGCTGTGGTGTGGTACTTGTCGCTGTGGTGTGGTACTTGCCGCGTGGTGGTACTTGCGCTGTGGTTGATTACTTGCCGCTGTGGTGTGGTACTTGCCGCTGTGGTGTGGTACTTGCCGCTGTGGTGTGGTACCGCCGCTGTGGTGTGGTACTTGTCGCTGTGTGTGGTACTTCGCTGTGGTGTGGTCTGCCGCTGTGGTGTGGTACTTTTCGCTGTGGTGTGGTACTTGCCGCTGTGTGGTACCGCTGTGGTGTGGTACTGCCGCTGTGGTGTGGTACTGCCGCTGTGTGGTACTTGCCGCTGTGGTGTGGTACTTGCCGCTGTGGTGTGGTATGCCGCTGTGGTCGCGTGGTGGTACTTGTCGCTGTGGTGTGGTACTTGTCGCTGTGGTGTGTACTTGTCGCTGTGGTGTGGTACTTGCCGCTGTGGTGTGGTACTTCCGCTGTGGTGTGGTACTTTCGCTGTGGTGTCGTACTTGTCGCTGTGGTGTGGTACTTGCCGCTGTGGTGTGGTACTTGTCGCTGTGGTGTGGTACTTGTCGCTGTGGTGTGGTACTTGTCGCTGTGGTGTGGTACTTGTCGCTGTGGTGTGTACTTGCCGCTGTGGTGTGTACTTCGCTGTGGTGTGGTACTTGCTGTGGTGTGGTACTTGGTGGTTCGCTGTGGTGTGACTTCCGCTGTGGTTATTGCGGGTTGGTACTTCGTGTGGTGTATTGTCGCGTGGTTGTACTTGCCGCTGTGGTGTTGTCGCTGTGGTGGTCGCTGTGGTGTGTACTTGTCGCTGTGGTGTGGTACTTGTCGCTGTGGTGTGGTACTTGCCGCTGTGGTATGGTACTTTCGCTGTGGTGTGGTACCTTGTCGCTGTGGTGTGGTACTTGCCGCTGTGGTGTGGTACTTGTCGCTGTGGTGTGGTACTTGCCGCTGTGGTGTGGTACTCGCTGTGGTGTGGTACTTGTCGCTGTGGTGTGGTACTTCCGCTGTGGTTCGCTGTGGTGTGGTACTTGCCGCTGTGGTATGGTACTTCCTGTGGTATGTACTGCCGCTGTGGTATGGTACTGTGTTGTGGTACTTGTCGCTGTGGTGTGGTACTGTCGCTGTGGTGTGGTACTTGCCGCTGTGGTATGGTACTTGTCGCTGTGGTGTGGTACTTGTCGCTGTGGTGTGGTACTTGTCGCTGTGGTGTGGTACTTGTCGCTGTGGTGTGGTACTTGCCGCTGTGGTGTGGTACTTGTCGCTGTGGTGTGGTACTTGCCGCTGTGGTGTGGTACTTGCCGCTGTGGTGTGGTACTTGCCGCTGTGGTGTGGTACTTGCCGCTGTGGTGTGGTACTTGTCGCTGTGGTGGTACTTGCCGCTGTGGTATGGTACTTGTCGCTGTGGTGTGGTACTTGCCGCTGTGGTGTGGTACTTGTCGCTGTGGTGGTACTTGCCGCTGTGGTATGGTACTTGTCGCTGTGGTATGGTACTTGCCGCTGTGGTGGTACTGTCGCTGTGGTGGTACTTGCCGCTGTGGTGTGGTACTTGTCGCTGTGGTATGGTACTTGTCGCTGTGGTGTGGTACTTGCCGCTGTGGTGTGGTACTTGTCGCTGTGGTGTGGTACTTGCCGCTGTGGTATGGTACTTGCCGCTGTGGTATGGTACTTGCCGCTGTGGTATGGTACTTGCCGCTGTGGTGTGGTACTTGCGCAACCCGAGTGTGTGACCGATAGAGAACTTCGCTTCGAGTAACAACAATTTTGGGGATCGATCGAGTTGTAACTTGACACGCACCATCAAGTATCACCACACTCAATTATGTACAAGTGCCAGTAAGGTCAAGGGTCACCATAACTTGATAAACTGACCTTGAGGGTTAGGTTAGTTTAGGTTGGGTTAGGTTAGGTTTGGTTTGGTTAGCGTTGTGGTGACTCATTGCGTTGGGTTATAAAGTCTTAAAGGTGCTACTTGAAGTTGTAAGTAATATGGTTAGGTAGGGTTTTGAAGGTGCTACTTGAAGTTGTAAGTAATATGGTTAGGTTAGGTTTTGAAGGTGCTACTTTGGTTGTCGTAAGTAATGTGGTTAGGTTAGGTTTTGAAGGTGCTACTTGAAGTTAGGAATATGGTTAGGTTAGGTTTTGAGGTGCTGCTTGAAGTTGTTGTAAGTAATATGGTTAGGTTAGGTTTTGAAGGTGCTACTTGAAGTTGTTGTAAGTGATATGGTTAGGTTAGGTTTTGAAGGTGCTACTTGAAGTTGTTGTAAGTGATATGGTTAGGTTAGGTTTTGAAGGTGCTACTTGAAGTTGTCGTAAGTAATATGGTTTGTTAGGTTTGAAGGTGCTACTTGAAGTTGTCGTAAGTAATATGGTTAGTTAGGTTTTGAAGGTGCTACTTGAAGTTTTTGCAAGTAATATGGTTAGGTTAGGTTTTGAAGGTGCTACTTGAAGTTGTTGTAAGTAATATGGTTAGGTTAGGTTTTGAAGGTGCTACTTGAAGTTGTTGTAAGTAATATGGTTAGGTTAGGTTTTGAAGGTGCTACTTGGTTGTCGTAAGTAATATGGTTAGGTTAGGTTTGAAGGTGCTACTTGAAGTTGTCGTGGTAATATGGTTAGGTTAGGTTTTGAAGGTGCTACTTGAAGTTGTTGTAAGTAATATGGTTAGGTTAGGTTTGAAGGTGCTACTTGAAGTTGTCGTAAGTAATATGGTTAGGTTGGGTTTGAAGGTGCTACTTGGAAGTTGTCGTAAGTAATATGGTTAGGTTAGGTTTTGAAGGTGCTACTAGTTGTCGTGTAATATGGTTAGGTTAGGTTTTGAAGGTGCTACTTGAAGTTGTTGTAAGTAATATGGTTAGGTTAGGTTTTGAAGGTGCTACTTGAAGTTGTCGTAAGTAATATGGTTAGGTTAGGTTTTGAAGGTGCTACTTGAAGTTGTCGTAAGTAATATGGTTAGGTTAGGTTTTGAAGGTGCTACTTGAAGTTGTTGTAAGTAATATGGTTAGGTTAGGTTTTGAAGGTGCTACTTGAAGTTGTCGTAAGTAATATGGTTAGGTTAGGTTTTGAAGGTGCTACTTGAAGTTGTTGTAAGTGATAGAAAATGTGGATTTCCAGGAGTGGCAATAAACTGAACTGTACTGATATTGGCTCGTGTGGCGGGTCATAAGGGGGAGGGAATATAGCCTTTAAGGAGGAATATAGCCTTTAAGGGGAGGAATATAGCCTTAAGGGGGAGGAAATATAGCTTTAAGGGGGAGGAAATATAGCTTTTAAGGGGAGGAAATATAGCTTTTAAGGAGGGAATATAGCTTTTAAGGGGGAGGAAATATAGCTTTTAAGGGATGAGGAAATATAGCATTTAAGGGGAGAAAATATAGCTTTAAGGGGGAGGGAATATAGCCGTAAATATAGGTTTAAAGGGGAAAAATAGAGCTTTAAAGGGGGAGGAAGTATAGCCTTGGATAAGGCTTTAAGGAGGAAGTAAATATAGCTTTAAAGGAACAGGAACTAACAGCTTTAAAAGAGGGCATTCCACCTTCACTACTCAGGTGTGTGTGTGTGTGTGTGTGCTGCACTTGTTAAGGTGATAAAGTTTGGCGCTGCAGTGGACCTCAGTAAAAGGTGAAACATTTTAGGGAGTCGGTCACAAGCGGTGAGTTAATGCGTACAGCACACGTAGGTAAGCCTGATGTGAAGGGAGACTAATTAGCCCTCGGAATTAATGTGATACCTGGCGTAATATTGTGGTATCGGGCGTAATATTGTGGTATCGAGTCTAGTAGTGTGGTGATCGTGTGTGGTATTTGGTGTGATGGTACCTTAGTGTGTGTGGTACCTGGCATGGTAGTGGGTGAATTCCTATATGTTGGTACCTGTTATGGTATGGTTAGGTGGTAAAATATAGTGGTAGTAGTGCTTGGTATGGCAGTGCTGGTTGGCCATGGTAGTGCTGGCTGGCCATGGTATTATGGTACCTGACGTGGTATTGTGATACGTAAGTTATAGAACCAGAAAAAATCACATCCACGAATTTAGTTTTTTTTAGTTGCTACCTGTCAGTTTGTGGAGGTGTTGTAGTGGCTGGGATAGAGACAGAAGAGAATGGGTTTACCTGTCTAGACAGCGGGAGGACAGGGTTCAACACAGGTGACGATAGACAGGTGAGAGTGACGGTAATTGCCAAGGTGTACCGAAGGTCTTTGGGACAGTGGATGGTGGTGGTAGTGGTAATGATGGTGGTGGAGGGTGGTAGTAGTGGTGGTTAATGAGTTGTCTTACCTGTTCTTACCTATTTAATTAGCAATGGTATCGGGGGGTGGTGGTAGCTAGGTAGAATGGAGAAAGAGAGAGAGAGAGAGAGCTGAAGATGTCGTAGGGAACCGTAAATTCTCAAACTTCAGTACAGTAGCTGAAGCCCTATATGAGGCGTCTCTGTCTACCTGATTCACACCAGGACAGGGCTGGTAGTGCTGACCACACACACACACCCACCCACACCCACCCACCACACACACATCCACCCACCCACCACACACATCCACCCACCCACCACACACATCCACCCATCCACCCACCCCACACATCCACCACACACATCCACCCACCCACCACACACACATCCACCCACCCACCACACACATCCACCCACCACACACACATCCACCCACCCACCACACACATCCACCCACCCACCACACATCCACCCACCCACCACACACACTCCACCCACCCACCACACACACATCCACCCACCCACACACACACACACACACACACACACACACACACACCACCACCCACACACAATCCACCCACCACACACATCCACCCACCCACCACACACATCCACCCACCCACACACATCCACCCACCACACACACATCCACCCACCACCACACACATCCACCCACCCACACACACATCCACCCACCCACCACACATCCACCCACCCACCCATCCACCCACCCACCACACACATCCACCCACCCACCCACCACACACATCCACCCACCCACACACACATCCACCCACCCACCACACACATCCACCCACCCACCACACACATCCACCCACCCACCACACACATCCACACACACACACACTTAAGCAGTTTAGTCTAGTTTATTCTGTAACCAGTATAGTAACCAGAGTATTATACACTATGGATGAATAAGTTTTCACTATGCAGTTTACATTAACCCGCAGGGGTCAGAGATGTTTTCCTAGCAAGCATTTAGTAAGCATTTATTTACCTGCTCAAACGCAGCTGCTTTAGTCACGTACACGGTCTGGCGACAGTGTCCGCCAGAGATGTCTCAATATAACGATATCACCTTTGAAGCTCATTACTTATTAAAGTAATGGCTCTACTTGATAACTAGGTACATTGCTTACCACTAGTAGACTTCCAAGTATTTGATGTAAATTAACAGTCAGATTTGTTAGATATTTGCAACGTCAATTAAGGATGATTCACGGCTCTAACGAGATCATTTCCAGACAGCTATTTCAGTAACGCTGCTGACACTGATTCCGGTGTTCATGCCAAGGAATTGACTCAGAACGACCCTTCCTGCTGGTAGAAGCTTCAACCCATGCATCATCCTTCGTGACGTCTTCGTCAGTTAGCCCCGGGGTGGGTTCGCCCTGGAAGAGCTAGGCAGTCTTTAGCTGGACACCACACATTACTGATCTACCACTGAGCAGTAGACAAAAGTCGTGTCGCGGTTTTGTCAGAAGATTAAATATAACTCGTGAAACATTATGAGAGCCCGCCCCTACCACCAGGCGGAGTGCACCAAGAGTTTAGCCCTTCGGCATACTGTATGTTTTCACCAAATTTCACGACACGACTTTTGTCTTTCATTGTACATAACGACCTGTATCCGTCCACCCATCCCAGAGAAGTGAACCAAGACAGATGGTTTTGTGAACAATTTACTGCAACTTTCTCAAATAAGTGTGAGTCTTCAGAAGAAGTTACAGGAAGTTACACAACACACACACACACACACACACACACACACACACACACACACACACACACACACACACACACACACACACACACACACACACACACACACACACACACACACACACACACACACACACACACACACACACACACACACACACACACACACACGGCATTTAACGCTCGTATAATTTATAACACAAGAGTTTGGGGCTGTGTTAACAATGCTTGACCTTCACTTAAAATTTTCAGATGTAAACTTAAGCGGATTAATGTATGCAACACGCCCTCACCCCTCTTCCTCCCGTCCACTCCTGTTTCTCCTCCTCGTATCCACATCTCTTCCTCCTGTCTACTCCTCCCTCCTCCACCTGTTCACCTCTCTTCCTCCCGTCCACTCCTCTTCCTCCTCCTCCCGTCCACTGCTCCTCTTCCTTTCGTCCACTACTCTCTTCCTCGTCCACCTTCTTTCTTTCTTCTCGTCCACCTCTTCCTCCCCCCCACCCACCTCATCCCCCCACCTCATCCCCCCCACCCCTCATCCCCCCACCCCTCATCCCCCACCCTCATCCCCCCACCCCTCCATCCCCCCACCCCCTCATCCCCACCCCTCATCCCCCC